GAATGTCAGCATTCACACAGTCGTTTCGTGTATGTACGAAATATTTGCTAAATATCATTATTTCTCACTTACACCGGCAAATGTCGACATTCAGCATGCACTGATGGTGAATGTTGAATAAAAATATTTTTATTATGTTAAGACAAAAATGCAACTTTTTAATATGTCAAAATAGGAGAAAGCTTAAGTAAAAGCACATGTAAATAAACTGTTGAACTTAAAATGAACAGTACATTCTAAATCATTAAAGAAAATAATACAATAATAAGTTTACACATAAATTATATGATTAATGTTATGCAATCTTATTTTAATGTTATAGAATCTTATTTATTGCAACAACTTAAACTGTTATGGCACTTTGAATTGCACAAGAGTCCCTTGCTTTTACAACTACATTTATTCGTAGAACACTTCTTTTTGCAATGACAGCGTGTATAGCCTTGCCCTCCAGTTTTCGAGTTAGCTGCAGCTGCTTCTCTCAGTGATATTTCTTGAGAAGAAATCTCATCTATAGAAAGTAACTTTTCTTTACAAATTACAAACTGATTATGGGTTTTTTTTTTAACTCTTTCCGCCTTGTGGGCACTAGGAGGGCCTCTTTTTGCAATCCCATTATGGGTTCGGCCAGGCCCACAATGGGGCTGCCAGGTGGTGAGGGACGGGGCCCGACATATCCGAACAGACCTCCTCCGAATAATTCCTGGGGATTTTTCGACCCGTTCGGATTCGAACCCGGGTCCCCCAGAGTGGTTGGCTGCCATCTTGACCGCTCAGCCATCCGGCCACTGACTGATTATGGGTATAAAGCTGCTTGAGGGTACCATTTTTGTTTGCTAATTTATAAAAGTCAGAGTCTTCTATTCCAACAACAACCGCCAACACGTTTTGGGGATTTGTACAGCCACGGTCGAGATCAGGGACTTGTATTGACAGACTGTCGCCTCTCTGTCCACATCAGCTTATCTGTGTTTGTCGACATACACCGGTGATTGTTCGAATGTATAGTAATATAACCAAATGTTCGGTCTTTAACCGACCTATTTTGTATGTGTCGACATTCACCGGAGAATATCGACATTCTCTAATTTCGGTCTTTCACAGTAACATATGCACTTCATTTTTTAAAATACTTGTAAGGAGGAAAAAAAACAAAAAAGAAATGAAATAAAAGAAAAATCTTTATCAATTTAATTGATTACATATTAAACAAATTTCATTACTTTATGGTAGTAATACAATAAATTGCCTGCAATGGTATGGTAGAGAAGTCACAGCATTGGAAGTACTCACACAAATGATTAATCATATTTTTCATCACTGTCAGAACTCATGCCTGAATCATTATCTGAAAGTATGCCATCTTCTGAGCTATTGAGTACATTTGAAATTCCATACTTATGAAAGCTTTTCACTGTCAACTTTTAAATTCATGTCCAGGCAATCTGAATCTACTCACAGATCATCTCAACTTCTAGATACTTTAAAATGAAAGAATTGAAGCAAGTAAGTTGCATGTAGCAATTGCTAGATGGTTGCACATTAGCCTGTCTGTCATTCAGAGTAAAGAATCATTTCTACAAATTGGGTCAGTATCTGGAAGACCACCACTAATTGTCCAAAATTCAACAACTAAAGACAGATGTATCTGAGCTGTTTGGTTAAGATAGCAACAGATAAAACTGCCTTGGATGCAATTTGACCACAAAAATACTTTGGGGAATATGGTGTTGACATCTGGCATTAGTTGAATGCTTCATGAGGTGGTTATGTTAGGAGAAAATGGTCTATGCACCTTTCACTCTCTCACTATGCAATGAGCAGGAATATCTAAACTGGTGCAAGTTTCATGGACAAGGAACAAAGTGTCTTCTCTCTTTAATTAATTAAGGATGAGTTCGGGTTTGCTTTTCAGAATTATTCTAAATACTCTCTGATCTGCAGAGGAGCAGGTATTACTATCATCCCTCAAACATCCTGAAAAGCAATACTTGTGGAGGTGCTAGTTTGGGCAGCCATACAACCTGATAGGACAGAGGTATAGGGATGAAATCTTGGATCAATTTGTCGGACCTTATGTGGGTGTGATAGAGATTCAGTTTATTCTTATTCTGATAGAATGGATTGTGGATCAGTATTTTGAGTTGAATATCATAACCTGTATGTAGTCCCAGCCAATCTCAATCTTGTAGTGCTCATTTGGGATGCTCTAGGGAAGGGATGATGAACCGTTTTGAGTCTGCATGCCATATAGTGAGCACAATCATGTTTTAAAATATTTATATATATATATGCCAAAGTTTTAAGATTTTATAATGATATTTAAGGAAATGAAACAAATATGCTTTAATTAGAATAAATATAAAGAAGCTGATGTAAAAAGGATGATCAGATGAAAACCAAAAAGATAATTGAAAAAAGAGACAATAAACTGAAATTGAGTGCCACATGATTTCTCCAGACATGCTGTAGATTTTCCACCCTTGCTCTAGGGAGATGTTTCATCTCTTCACCCTCAGAATCTCTAGGAACTCCAACTGGCTATACAACAAGAATGGCAAAATATTTCAGTTATTTGATCAATTTGCCCTGTAAACAATACAGAAAATGCTGTGAGGTGTGTATTGCTATAAAAGGCAATCATATGTTTCATTAAATTTTACATGCCACATTAGAGATCTTTTTTCACATGTACTGTACATGTCATCAAATGTTTGCACTTAATTACTGAAATGTATATTCATTAATTCATTCTTTAATATGACTTTCTTAAAAATTTTATATCCTGTATATAAATATTAAACACTTAATCATAAAGTCATTTTTTTTACAGAAGGAAAAGTATTTTCAGAAGGAAAGCTAAAAACCTTTGAAGATGATAATCCAAGAAATCAAGATGAAGCAATTTATCAAATGCTCAATGCTTGGAAAGAAAAATATCCTAATGAAGCAACCATTGGAAATTTAGCCGAGACATTAAACACAATTAGAAAATATGAAATTGCAATCAAATTAAAACCCTAAATTTCAATCTTTAGAAGTTACTGAGGTTAAAAAATTGCCAGAATACAAGGTTTTCATAAACCAGTATCATACTTTTATATTTTGTGCCTTTTGAAATATAATAATCTTGTAAATTATTGAAAAAGTTACAAAATCATTACAAAAATAATCATTACAAAATGTAATGACTATTTGAGATTATTTAGATTGCCAAAAATTGTCATTATTGGAAATAATGACTGTATACTTAATTACATGGATATTATCGATATAGAAGTCATAATATTTACTCATATAGACATATTTCAGCATGAAAGAGAATCTCTGCACTAGAATAATGGAGGAAAGCATCATGTAAAATAATGAATTTTAATAAAATCTTTTTTATGTAGAATGAAAGACTTTTTTACACGCATAAAATGAGTAATTATGACGTNACTTTACAAGAGAATCGTATACATAATAGTATCTATTGAGTCAGAAAAACAGATATCAGTTTTGTTACTATATATAACAGTATGTAAAATATACAGTATAAAGATGTACAGTACATGTTTATTAAAGAAAAATTCATAACATTACTGTGAGAAAGAGAAGGAAAAAGTTATATTAAAATAGCCTTTACTTGAAGAATTGACTTATGTAGTTATATATTTTCAAAATACCTGTTGTTTTTTTTAATTATAGAAGCAAAAAAGTTGGTTTTTAAAATCAAAGAATTTTAGAAGTTGAAAAATTAGCCAATAGGATTGTTTGTAGTAAAAATACACTACATAATAGAGAAACTTTTTTAATTAAAATTGCTGAATCAATACTATATTAAAATAAAATCTATTAAAAATACTTTCTCCTTTACATCTATTCAACTGATAAAGCCTTGAATGTAACAGTTCTTATTTTTGCTTAAACATTGTATCTTAAAATACAAGATGGCAATATTTAAATTTCCACTGTTCAGCAGTGTCTGCAGTTCAATCTTATAGCTAGATTGTTCTCAAATTTGATAAGTAGATTAATCAGAACATGCAATGCAGGATTTTGCAAAAAAAGTATTTTAGAGCCAAAATTCATCAATGGAGAAGTGTGGTGCTGTAATTTAAAAACATCATTAAAATGGACAGAAACATAAATAACAATAATTATAATGAATTGAAACTTTTATTGCATTTTACTAAAAATATTATTACAGCTAGAAAACGGTTAATATCAGCAGTTGAATGGTCATTCTGAACATTCATGGAGCTTAGTATTGTTGGAAACCTCCTATCTAATTTGGGGACATTGTATTTATTCACATGGAATAGAATTTGGTTCAATGAAGTCACCATTCTTGATGAACAGACACTGTATTCTGTGCTCACTGTTCTCAGTAGCTAAACATAATGCATCTGAAGGAATGTTAGGTGCATGTTGACAGTCATCTATAAGAATGTGTCTTCCTGCCACTGCCACTAACACAGGTGATAACTGTAATATTGTGCAAAGCATTAGCTATTTTGGCTACAGTGGTGCCAGAATTCCCAGTTTGAAAGTTTTTGTACTGAAATATTTTTTTAGAATCCTGCTTCCCATGTTCCAATTAGTCTACCTACCAAATTTGGAAATGTTCTGGTTGTTAGATTTAGTTGCAAATGCCTTTGAACAGGGGAAGTTTAATTTTGGCCACTTTGCATATATTTTCAGAAAGTTGTGAGTGATATGTAAACTAATTAAAACAGTTTAATGCTGTTTGGAGGAAATAAGATAAGATCTGTTTCTTCTCAATTTTGGAAAAAACAGATCTTGTTTCAAGAGATGCAAGTGCTGCAGATAGTTTCAGAACAGCACAAGTCCCATTTTGGAATCCCAAAATTTAATTTTAGTGCAGAAAATTCAAATAGTACTGAATTTTTATTGACATTTTAAATACTTGAACTGCAATATTAAAAAGAACTTGCTTTTTGTCACAAAAAAATAATAATTTTTCTGATTAAAAAAATCTACTTCAATGATCTGATTCAAGCATGAAGATAATTTTACTTTATTTGTAACAATTATTCAGTTTATGGAATTAAATTTAGCATGGAGAAAATGGTAAACATAATTAGTTATCAATGCTCAATACTTCAACATTGTATTTAAAAAGTGAACTAAAATCAGATTTTTCAAAAATTTCCATAAAAATTTTGATTTTTGTAACTTTGTTCTTGAAAGGAAAATAAAATTTTGTGAATTTCTAGGAAATTTTTATGATCCATATGAATCCTGAATAATATAGTTGTAAGTCTAAAAGTAATTTAGCAAAAAAAAACTTTTATCTAGTTTACTTGAAAGCATTTCATATTCTGTTTAAACTTTGTTATGTGTAATTTTTATTTAAAAAATAATTAAATTTATTTATTCTGATTTATATAATTAGATTTGAATGTCATGAACTTACAATTCTAGCAAAAGCTATTAGTTAGAACAAAATCAATTATCAAATTAATTGACAGTCTTATAAATAAAATTATAAATTTACTGGTAGATAGCCAATTATTTGACTAATACTTGTCTTTAAAAAGGAAAATTGGTTGAGCCATCTTTGGGGGGGCAGTTACTTTCTTTCTTGAAGAAACATTTTCCAGAAGTGTCAGATTTAATATATTTTCAATTAAAAATTGTCTTGAATGGCTTCTTTTGATAATTACATCTGTATTTACAAAAAATTAAATAACATCAATGAGAATTAGATCTTATATTAGGACTAAAATTACAACACAATAATGAAAAATAACAACATATTTAAAGAACTAAATGATCAATTGCATGAAACGGCATCTCAGCTATGTAATAGTAGAATCCAATGATGATAGATAATTAATATTTACCAATAATTTAATATTTTTAAAAACCTAAAATTGAACAAAAGTACTATTAAAACTATTAGTTTTTCACTAAAACTTTTACTGAAATGCAAGTAGCAGTTTATATTCAAATTCAGCTTATGTTCGCAACCCATTGATGTAAGTCTGCATCATGTGAAGATCACATGATGCAAAATTGTGTCAATTGATGGCAAGTGTGTTAACCACCATTTGGTTACTTAATTATGGTAGTGTACTAGCAATCAGAGTAGTCTGGCCACATGTTTTTTAATAAAATGTAAAATCAAAAGAAAAATCAGTGTAAATCAAAGGCTTACGAATAAAAGGAAGAATTGGCATGTATATAATCCAATAATAATAATGTGACAGTTCCAGTGTGCTAAATTAATTTTGCTGTTTTATTTCCACAGAAAAATTATATGAAATAGTAAGGAATACAGCAGCTTTACTGTAAGATTATAACAAGATCAGCTAATTCTTAGCATGGCATTGACCTTTATAAAACAAAAACAGACATGCTGTGATGTTCAAATCATATCATTTTGATTATGACCATGGCAGAAACTGTTGCTTTAATTACTAAAATTAATTGAAAATTTTAATATGAATGTAGAAATATTACAAATAAATTTTTAATAATATTTTCTTTCTCTATTAAATTACCTTCTTATTATTTAGGACTACTATATATAACAGTATGTAAAATATACAGTATAAAGATGTACAGTACATGTTTATTAAAGAAAAATTCATAACATTACTGTGAGAAAGAGAAGGAAAAAGTTATATTAAAATAGCCTTTACTTGAAGAATTGACTTATGTAGTTATATATTTTCAAAATACCTGTTGTTTTTTTTAATTATAGAAGCAAAAAAGTTGGTTTTTAAAATCAAAGAATTTTAGAAGTTGAAAAATTAGCCAATAGGATTGTTTGTAGTAAAAATACACTACATAATAGAGAAACTTTTTTAATTAAAATTGCTGAATCAATACTATATTAAAATAAAATCTATTAAAAATACTTTCTCCTTTACATCTATTCAACTGATAAAGCCTTGAATGTAACAGTTCTTATTTTTGCTTAAACATTGTATCTTAAAATACAAGATGGCAATATTTAAATTTCCACTGTTCAGCAGTGTCTGCAGTTCAATCTTATAGCTAGATTGTTCTCAAATTTGATAAGTAGATTAATCAGAACATGCAATGCAGGATTTTGCAAAAAAAGTATTTTAGAGCCAAAATTCATCAATGGAGAAGTGTGGTGCTGTAATTTAAAAACATCATTAAAATGGACAGAAACATAAATAACAATAATTATAATGAATTGAAACTTTTATTGCATTTTACTAAAAATATTATTACAGCTAGAAAACGGTTAATATCAGCAGTTGAATGGTCATTCTGAACATTCATGGAGCTTAGTATTGTTGGAAACCTCCTATCTAATTTGGGGACATTGTATTTATTCACATGGAATAGAATTTGGTTCAATGAAGTCACCATTCTTGATGAACAGACACTGTATTCTGTGCTCACTGTTCTCAGTAGCTAAACATAATGCATCTGAAGGAATGTTAGGTGCATGTTGACAGTCATCTATAAGAATGTGTCTTCCTGCCACTGCCACTAACACAGGTGATAACTGTAATATTGTGCAAAGCATTAGCTATTTTGGCTACAGTGGTGCCAGAATTCCCAGTTTGAAAGTTTTTGTACTGAAATATTTTTTTAGAATCCTGCTTCCCATGTTCCAATTAGTCTACCTACCAAATTTGGAAATGTTCTGGTTGTTAGATTTAGTTGCAAATGCCTTTGAACAGGGGAAGTTTAATTTTGGCCACTTTGCATATATTTTCAGAAAGTTGTGAGTGATATGTAAACTAATTAAAACAGTTTAATGCTGTTTGGAGGAAATAAGATAAGATCTGTTTCTTCTCAATTTTGGAAAAAACAGATCTTGTTTCAAGAGATGCAAGTGCTGCAGATAGTTTCAGAACAGCACAAGTCCCATTTTGGAATCCCAAAATTTAATTTTAGTGCAGAAAATTCAAATAGTACTGAATTTTTATTGACATTTTAAATACTTGAACTGCAATATTAAAAAGAACTTGCTTTTTGTCACAAAAAAATAATAATTTTTCTGATTAAAAAAATCTACTTCAATGATCTGATTCAAGCATGAAGATAATTTTACTTTATTTGTAACAATTATTCAGTTTATGGAATTAAATTTAGCATGGAGAAAATGGTAAACATAATTAGTTATCAATGCTCAATATTTCAACATTGTATTTAAAAAGTGAACTAAAATCAGATTTTTCAAAAATTTCCATAAAAATTTTGATTTTTGTAACTTTGTTCTTGAAAGGAAAATAAAATTTTGTGAATTTCTAGGAAATTTTTATGATCCATATGAATCCTGAATAATATAGTTGTAAGTCTAAAAGTAATTTAGCAAAAAAAAACTTTTATCTAGTTTACTTGAAAGCATTTCATATTCTGTTTAAACTTTGTTATGTGTAATTTTTATTTAAAAAATAATTAAATTTATTTATTCTGATTTATATAATTAGATTTGAATGTCATGAACTTACAATTCTAGCAAAAGCTATTAGTTAGAACAAAATCAATTATCAAATTAATTGACAGTCTTATAAATAAAATTATAAATTTACTGGTAGATAGCCAATTATTTGACTAATACTTGTCTTTAAAAAGGAAAATTGGTTGAGCCATCTTTGGGGGGGCAGTTACTTTCTTTCTTGAAGAAACATTTTCCAGAAGTGTCAGATTTAATATATTTTCAATTAAAAATTGTCTTGAATGGCTTCTTTTGATAATTACATCTGTATTTACAAAAAATTAAATAACATCAATGAGAATTAGATCTTATATTAGGACTAAAATTACAACACAATAATGAAAAAGAACAACATATTTAAAGAACTAAATGATCAATTGCATGAAACGGCATCTCAGCTATGTAATAGTAGAATCCAATGATGATAGATAATTAATATTTACCAATAATTTAATATTTTTAAAAACCTAAAATTGAACAAAAGTACTATTAAAACTATTAGTTTTTCACTAAAACTTTTACTGAAATGCAAGTAGCAGTTTATATTCAAATTCAGCTTATGTTCGCAACCCATTGATGTAAGTCTGCATCATGTGAAGATCACATGATGCAAAATTGTGTCAACTGATGGCAAGTGTGTTAACCACCATTTGGTTACTTAATTATGGTAGTGTACTAGCAATCAGAGTAGTCTGGCCAGATGTTTTTTAATAAAATGTAAAATCAAAAGAAAAATCAGTGTAAATCAAAGGCTTACGAATAAAAGGAAGAATTGGCATGTATATAATCCAATAATAATAATGTGACAGTTTCAGTGTGCTAAACTAATTTTGCTGTTTTATTTCCACAGAAAAATTATATGAAATAGTAAGGAATACAGCAGCTTTACTGTAAGATTATAACAAGATCAGCTAATTCTTAGCATGGCATTGACCTTTATAAAACAAAAACAGACATGCTGTGATGTTCAAATCATATCATTTTGATTATTACTATGGCAGAAACTGTTGCTTTAATTACTAAAATTAATTGAAAATTTTAGTATGAATGTAAAAATATTACAAATAAATTTTTAATAATATTTTCTTTCTCTATTAAATTAACTTCTTATCATTTAGGACAGAACATACTAATACATAAAGGTAGAAATATTCATATTGGTAACAGTTACAACTTTACACAAGTTCGCACAGCAGTATCAAACATTAATATTAAGAAAAATAAAAATCCTCCTTCAGAATTTGCTCCTCAGTTTACTGAAAGTACGAAGAGAAAATTACCAGATGAAATAAAAGGTATATATTATAAAAATAATAAACATATATGTAAAGAAAATTATGTATAATAGTGTATATGTGTGTATAAAATGAATTTCAGATTCAGTTCGTGAAATAGATCCTGAAGCCATGCATTTTGTTGCTGAACATATAGCTAGTGACTGGAAGAAACTAGCAAGATATCTTCCTCCAAGTAAGTAACATATTTAAGAATTGTAGCGAATTCTATTCTGGGCCAAAGTCAAGGCATAGTTCTAGGATGTTGTTATTGTATTATTAATGTACAGTATTACATCTTGTTCAGTTGATATTGGTTCCTATTGCAATGCTAGACTAAAATCAAGGTATAGATACCAATAAAGTAGATACTTTTTGTGCTATTTTTTATGGAGGAAATAATTAAATTATTTAGCATTTTAAATAACTGGTTGACTAATATCCAATAATGATTGTGTATTATAATGCCACATGTTAAAGTTTAAAACACATCTTAAAAATGTCTAATTACCAGAAGTTAATGGTAATTATATCAAACTGATAACAATAAGCAATAATTACGACTATGTTTCAGGTTTTTTGGGACATGCTAATTGATATTACATAAATCATAACCATATCTATGGTTGCAATAAATGCGGTTTGTTATGTATATTGTGTACTGTACATATGTAAGTGTTGTTTGAGAAGTTTGGTAAATTTCTTTGAGATGGTATTACAGTTCATTAAGTGCAGCACAGTTGGCAAGTTTCTTTCTTCAAATGACCTCTTGCAAAGTTTTAGCCACATGTGATGCATAATTAGCATTTGACAACTATTGAATCAACTACTTTCACATTTGCTCCAAAAAAAATGGAAAAAAATGAGTTAATAAAGTAATAAAACATTTTTATTTGAAGTGAACAGCAACACATATAAATGCTTAGTTGGATGACGTTTATGGAGATTCTACACTAGCATTGAATACTATTTATTTCTGGATAAATCGGTTTAAAGATGGCTGTACATGCACTGAAGATGAAGTGCACTCTGATTATCCAGTTGAGGTTTCCATGAAGAATATCATTGAAAAAAATCCATGGTATTGTAATGGAAGACCACTGAGTGATTATGTAAGTGCATTGAGATTGATGAGACTGTAGGTATCTCAACTGAATAAGTAAAAAGTATCTTGCATGAAAAAGCTGTGTGCATGATGGGTGCCACAATTGCTGCCTGTCAACCAAAAAATGCATTTGAAAGGACATTTCACTTCAGTGTTTGGTGATTGCAGGACATTGTGCTGAATTGTGACCATTTGAAGAAATTTGGATCCACCAAGTAACACCCGAGTAAAGACAGTAAACAATGACTGGTGAAAATATGCCAAAGAAGACAAAGATTATTTTGTTGATTTAAAACAGGGCTGTCCAATTCATTTTGGAGGCTGGCTATAATTTCAATTACATGTCAGTCAGTGGGCCACCTAGTGAATCATACTTGCTTACACTCATGATTCTTCTATAAATGGATATATATTTGAATCAAACAAAGCTTTAAGTTGCACATTTTTTAATAATAATACCTAATAAAAAATACATCAATGAGACCTATGAAGGGGCTTATTAACTAATAATTTTTCAATATTTGGTGACAACAATTTAATTTTAATATACAAAAGTCGACTCAAAACTAATAGAACAAGTGTAATAAATGCATAGGTTAGATATTAACAGTGGTGTGGCTCACCGTTGTTAATACTTAAGTCATAGTTCATTTTGCAATCGACCAATCACGTGGCATTGGCATTATTGGTAGCACGACATTGTGCATGGTGACAGCCGACCACTACTGTGGGTGGGCAAATTCAAATGTGTTGGCGGGCCTGGGTTTGGGCAGCCTTGATTTGAAAGGTGATCACAACTATTTTTTGGGTTTACCAAGGAATAATTTTGATCAACTTCTTGGAAAAAGGGAAAGCAATAACAGTAACCTATTAATGGCATAGTTGCATTGTTTTGAAAGATGAATTCAAAAAAAATCAGCCAAGATTAGTGTACAAAAAGAGTGCTCTTTCACCAGGACAATGTACAGTTCCACAAATTCAGCTTAAAATTATTTTCTCATTCATCCTATACCCTAGATTTGCCTCTGTTCAATTTCTTCCTGTTCCCAAACTTAAAAATTTGCTTAGTAGAAAGAAATTTTTATTAAATGGAGTGTGTCATTTTGCAGAGTTTCACAAAACTTTTATTTCTGGTAGGATGAAAAAATTGGAAACTTTATGGACCAAGTGTGTAACCCTCAATGCAGACTATATTGAGAAATAAAACTGATTTTTTTTTTTCTGGAAAAAGGTGTTTAACTTGTTTTTTTTGCCAAACTTTTCAAACAATTTTCATAAATGAAAAAGTCAACAAAAAATGGGGTGCATGAATAATGTATGTGTTACTGTGAATGACCGATATCTGACAAATGTCGAGATTCTCCGGTGAATGTCAGCATTCACACAGTCATTTCGTGTATGTACGAAATATTTGCTAAATATCATTATTTCTCACTTACACCGGCAAATGTCGACAATCAGCATGCACTGATGGTGAATGCAGTGGCGTACCGTAGTGGGGGCGGCAGGGGCGGCCCACCCCGGGCGGCACTTTTTAGGGGGCGGCAAAATTGCACAATAAATAATAATAATGTCTTGTAAAAATTTGAACCATCCTAATCTATACTTGCATCGCGCCTACGATAGTGCTATCGTCCGGACAGTCCGGGAATCGGCTCGCCGGGTGAACTAGTAACTTTTTCGTCCGAGGAATTCCTGCGAAACCTGTTGTTTTGCTTGTACGATTCATTCGCGTTCATATACACCACTAATATCCAAT